ATTGTGGGACACACAATCGATTTTATAATCGATTGCGGAAAAATCGATTTTTGTATAATCGATTAACATCCCTAATTTCAACCCTATTTTGACCAGATCTGCAAATGGTCAAAATAGTTTCGACTTCATGTATATTCCAGACATGAAAATTATACCACATTTCCAAGTGATATTTACTTAAAGAATTAGTCTCATATTCAAAGAGCCTTCAAAATAAAATAAAACAAAAAAAAAATACAATTAAAATATATGCTTTAACTTAAAAAAATCACAATGTTAACACCTTACAGATTATATGTGCTATTTCTGATCCATTCTAGATCTACATGTTTTTTGGCATCATAAAACTCATCCCATGGTTCCTTTTTAAATATTTGTTTTATAGATCTTTGGTATTGTTCTATTTGAAAATAAAAAAAAATTTATTGAACATATCATAAAATTATTGATAAACATATCACTTTATACAAAAACTTACAACACAAAAACTATTTAAATATTCTAAGATATTATTATCAATTTTTGGTAATTTCTTTAATTTATGGTTACTTATTTCTGACAATTCATCCTTGGTGAATATACCATTTTCTCATCTTCAGGATCTATGGTAAAGGAACATCAGGAAATTAATTTAGTGTAAATCTTACAATGCCAATGTAATATTGCATAAATCTTATGGTGCTGACATAAGTTTTACACTTTTTTTATTATTAAACTTACAATTGACACATGCAAATTTTTTTATATTTTCCGGATGAATGTAAGGTTGCTTGCCAAAACTCATCCAGAAATCAATCAGCAGGGTTTCGGCAGGTTACACATTAACTGTTTTGGCAGATTTTTGCATTTTGAGGTTTCACCATTTCGGCATAGTTTCAACAGGATTTTTGATAAGATTTAATATAGTTTTGCCGTAGTTTCAGCAACTACTAAGGAGGTTTTGCCCACAACCTTAGATGAATGACATAAACTTTGGAGAAGGATAGCAAACATATTACCATCTTTAAGTAGATCACTGTAATATGAATATGTAAGATGAAATTTAATTAACACATACTGTTCTTGTGTGCATTTTGTACCAAATGTGTACAATTGATCCTCTACAACCTTACCTGTCAAAAGGATCCATTTTTCCTCATCTTTCATCTCTTTAAAAGCTTTGACAAATTGGTCATAGTCATCCTTCAACATTATTGACTCATTTTCCTGTGTGAGTTCAAGTTCATTAAATAGACTTATCTATTTTAAGAGAATAAAATTTGCTTATCATATACCTTGCTTTCATTATTATGTTCTTTAACCTTTCTAAATATACAAAAAAAAAAATCAAAAAAAAAATAATGTTAAGATTTACATTCAGCAACTTAACTGATCAAGTAAAAAAAACTTATTTATATTAACTAGAGTGACAACAAGTTGCAATGTGGTGATTGTAGCCACCACCATTTAATGATAAATGACACTTACCTAGAGGTTTTCTCCCAGTTATTTTCGACTTTTCTTTTATTGTTGCAGTTTCTTGGTTGATTAAAAAAAAAGCCCTATTACTATTGTTATTGTTGACGCAATTGAATTTTTTTTTTGGAAAAACAATTTATCTTTTACAAGATGAGAAAGCATGAACATTGTTATTCGATATGGCTTGCTCTAAAGAAGACAAGGTGCTGTTTATTGATGGCAAGAGGTACACTATTTTTTTTTGTTGCATTATATATATATGTACATGTATTATTTTTTGGTTTTTTTTTTTATAATAATAAATATTGTTAATACATGTGGGTTCCATGCTAACAAAAAGATAGTTCAGGAAAAAATGGGGTTTTTGAGAAATCAGCTGATTTTGTTTTTCGCTAATCAAAACAACCCTGATTTTTTAAATCTAGAAACAAAGGTGTTACCCCTTTTTTGGTTATTGAAAATAATAAAAAAAAATTTAATTTAGAATTACTAATATTTATTATTATTTTGCAATTTTAATTAATTTGGGCTAAATTGTGTGTCAATTAAACATGTCAACTAATCAAGAAGCTTCTCAATATTTTTATGATTTATTTGAACTTGCTAGAGGATTATGAAAATTATGAAAATATTCAAGAAATTGTACATAATTTAATAAAATTTTTTGAAAGTCCAGCAAGTTGCATATGTTGCACTCCTGAAAAACAAAAGGATATTAGAACTTGCTTTGAAAAAATTGGATTTAAAAAGTTTTTTGAAAGACATTTTCAAATTATTAATTTAAACAGCAAAGAATTAGATTTGTTTTTAAAAGCACAACTTTTAGCAATAGAAATACAAAAAAAATTATAGAATATCTTCTGAAAAGATCCCTCAGAGAATGAACTATAGATATTGTTTTAATTCAACCTATGCTCTTTGTAAAACAGCATTTTTAAAGCTATACAATATAAGTGATTCTAA